TCTAATCGGGACAGGGGAAAAGCTGGAGAAACAAAGAGGTGGTGCCGCTGGCCAGGAGGGGCGAGCGGGCAAATATAAGTGGAAGAATTAAGGTCGGAAACCCTGATGAAACCTCGATGGTGACGAGTTAAAAGCGTTCCCACACTTGGAGGGGGGTGTCGCTGGGGTTAACAGCCTCCCCCCCCACCCCAGCTCGTGAGAAACTGGTTTGGTCTCATCAGGTGCAAGATTTTGGGGCTAAAAATCTGGTTTTGGAGTTAACACCAACCGAGCTGAGTCCGGGGAACCCTCCCATTGGGGATTTCCAGCCCGCTTCGACGCCAAAACCTGGTGGGACCCACATCCCGTCGCCCCGCAGATGGGACAACCCCACCCTCCCCTTCCTCACCCCTTTTTTTTTTGCTCTTAAACGCCCGTTTTTCGGGTACCTGTGGTGCCGGGGCTCAGAAGAGCCCGCAGTCCTTGAGGTTCTCTTTGATGATGACATCCGTGACGGCGTCGAAGACGAATTTGACGTTCTGCGTGTCTGTGGCACAGGTCATGTGGCTGTAGATCTCCTTGACGTCCTTTCGCATGTTGAGATCCAGGAACTGGGTCTTGATGTAATTCCCGGCGTCTTCGAACGTGTTGGGGCCTGCGGAGGGAGCGAACGCGGGTGTCGGAGCCGGGCCAGGACCAGGGGTAGCTTAAGGCTGGTTTTTAAGAACTTAAGGCTGGTTTTTAAGAACTTAAGGCTGGTTTTTAAGATCTGTTGAGGTCCCTTCCAAGCCCGAATATTCTGTGATTCTAATTGCTGGAAGTTGCTGGGTTTGCACTTGGCAAAGCAATTTTTTTTTTAAAAAAAAAAGCCGTTTTGAGGCTGTTTTAGTCTTTCCAGCACTTTGCCGAGGCCACCTCTGTCCTCTGCGACTCGAGGGGCTGGAGCGAGTGTGGAGGAGGAAAGATCTGGAGAATAAATCTTAACGATGGAAGGAGCTGGGGCCGTTGAGTTTGAAGAAGAGGCTGAGGAGAGACCTCATCACTCCCTGCAACGACCTGAAAGGACGTTGTGGAGAGGTTGGGGCTGATCTCTTACGGGGAATTAGTGATAGAACAAGAGGGAATGGATTCAAACTGCAACAGGGGAGGGTTAGACGGGGCATTAGGAGCAATTTTGTCACTAAAAAGTAGTGAGACACTGGCACAGGCTGCCCAGGGGTGAGTCCCCCTCCCTGGGGGTGGTTAAAGGGCTGGTTTGGGGTGAGCTCTGTAGAGCAGGTTCACGGTTGGACTCGATGATCCCAAAGGGATTTTCCAACCTGAACAATTCGACGATCCCAGCATAACCCCGAGCCGAGGTGCTGGAGGCTGGACTGGGGGATGTTTCTCGAGGAACGGTCGGACTCACCGTCGTACTCTGGGAAGCAAATGCTGAGGTGGACTTTCTTGATCTTCTCCTCGAAAAGGTCCTTCTTGTTGAGGAAGAGGATGATGGACGTGGCGGCGAAGAACTTGTGGTTGCATATACTGTTGAAGAGGTGCAGGGATTCGTGCATGCGGTTCTGCAGGCAAAGAGATGCGTTGGCGCCGAGCGCCGGGTTGCTAAATAACCTACAAACCCCTCTTTTTGGCTATTGCAGCTCCCTCCGAGCCCCTTCCCCAGTCTGAGATGAGAGATTTTTATTTTTTTTTCCTT